CAGGCGGAGGCCGGGACGGACTCCGTTTCTGTTCCCTGCTGGCAGGTGGGGATAAGTGTGGCTCTGGGCACCACCCACAGTTTCTCTGTATGTGTCAGTAGTTCCTGTGCACATGTGACGCAGGGAGAAAAATCCAGCCCAGCAAATCCAAGAAGATTTAGGTGGTAGAAGCGAAACCTGCGCTGAGAAAGCTGTGCACACGCTGGCAAATCGGAAGAGGCAAAAATAGCTGGTAGGCAGCACCAGCCATTTTCTTCCTCGTGAGTTGTACCTGCTCCTAGTTGGAGTGATTTCAGGGCTGTGGGAGAAGCTGCCATCCTCCACGCACTGCCCGAGGTCTGGGGGAAGCGCTACCGCCAGGTGCCATCCAGCGCTGGGCTGGACTGACCGAGGCAAGGACTCACGCTGCTGTTCTTGTCTCGAGCAGCCATTTATTTGAGCATCGTGCTAAGGACTTTATGTGGCTTCACTGCTTTACGCTCATAACAAAACTCTGAGGCAGGTTCCACGGTGAGGCCCCTTTTACAGATGAGGAAACTGAGGCCACAGGCTATCAATTACCAGCTCAAGTGAGCAGATGTTAGGAACTAAGATCTAAATCCTTTTTTGTAGATTAGGAAACCAAGACTCAGAAAGCAGAAGGAATTTTCCCAAGGTTGCACCACTGGGACTGGGGCCGGCGCCGGGGGCCCAGGGCCCCTTGCTCCAGAGCCCACGTTCTCCCCAGCCCGCTCCCCGGCTCTCTCCTTCCCCAGCCCACGACCGGGAGAAGGAACCCGGAGAAAGTAAAGACACAGGATGAGGGGAGTTTGGGAACGCAAGAAGCAATTTTGAAGAAGAAGAAGGAAAAAAAGTAAACATATCCTAGGCAGAAAGAGCTCATTCAACCCTTCATCTCACCCCGAAAGTACTGTTTAAAGCTACGTACGCAAAAAGGTCACCACAGCCTTGCCTGTACTAGGGAACATCTGGAACTCAGAGGAACACTCCAGCCGTGCGCGGAACGTCACACCACTGCCAGCGGCCTCGCCCCGGCCACGCGGCAACGGGGAGGAAGCCTCAGATACGGCTAATGCGCTCTTTGATCTGATAGTCCCCTGCTCTGAAAACACGTTCTAAGGAATTAATTCTCAATATGGCAAAGCTTTTGTTCATTTCTCTCAGCAAGGATGTTTGCCCCGGCCTAACAGAGTACCGCGTGCAACGAAGACCACAGGCACCTTCCTTCCGCCCTGGAAACGCGCAGGCGCAGGCGCAGGCGCAGGCGCCGGCACCTTCCGACCGGCGTAGGGCAGGGCTCTGCTCTCTGATTTGCTGATCCGTACGTCACTCAACGTCTTTCGCAGACATAAACTAGTGGTATCTAGCTCTACATGAACAGGATGGTTTTATTGGAAAGAGAATAAAGTAGGAGAGAGTGAACATAACATGAAAATGGAATTCTCCGGGAAGATTTGAACTATATACTTCCTAAACGTAGTTTTTAAATTCATAAATACGTGTGCACGAATACGCTAGACACTGTGCCGTTAGCTAACCGCATAGCCCCCTTTCCACGGAGATCCTGATCTCTGGCTCCACTGGCGTGTCCTGGACAATGAGGGCTGTCAGGTTTCCAGCTCTCCCGGGTGAAGGTGTCTCCAAGTCACAGACTGGGGGCAATGCCCCTCTACTCAGCCCTTCTACTTCCGGTCCTGCCCCACCCTCCAACCCTTCCCATCCCGTCCCGTCCCGGGGACCTCCAGGGTACTCACTCAGCCGCCTCAAGTACAAGACCGTGTCGTCGTAGCCTCGGTAGTAGTAATCGTGCAGGATCTGAGGGTGGGACACCGGGAAAATATGGCTGCAGCAGTGGAGAGAGCCTCGGTGCCCTTGCCCAGAGCAGCTACTTTCACTGCTCTTGAACTTTGATGGGTTTTTCAAAACGTCCCATCCAGTGTGCCCTCCCTTACTATCTGCTAAGAAGAACTGGGCAGCAATTCCTGGTCCCATGTCCCAGGAGAGCTGCATTAATGAGCAGCACCATTCCCAGCTGATCCACAGCCTCCCCTGGGCGGGAGATGGTGAGATTTTATGGTGGAACCAGAGAAGGCGCATTCAGGCCATAGGAAGAGCGGGGTCTGGAATCTGTGCTCAGATCTGGGCTCTGGATATAACCTCTCACAGCCTCAATTTCTTTACCTGTAAAATGGGGACAGTAATAACACCTGTCACAGAGGATGCTGGAGGGTCACATGAGATATTGCCTATGAAGCCTTTTCTGTAAAGGGCCAGACACAAAGTATTTGGGGCTTTGCTGGCCACATACAGTCTCTGACATATGTTCTTCTATTTCTTCCTCCTCCTCCTCTTCTTTTTTTTACAACTCTTTAAAATGGAAAACCCATCCTTAGCTCACAGGCTGCACAAAAACAAGCCATAGGCTGAATGTGGCCTGGGGGCTGCAGTTTGCTGACCCTTGCTTTGATACATTGACTGTCAGGGTAGAAGGGTTCAGTGAACATCTATCAGTGGTTCTGACACCAACTCATTTAACGGGGGAGGAAACTGAGGCTGGCTTAAGGGATTTGTTCAAGGTCACATAGCTAGCTAGCAGCACGGCCAGGATGCAGGTCTAGGAGGAGGTGTAAGGGATCATTGGAGGGGACACAGGTGGAACTTGAGTGGGGCCAACTGGCTCCCTGATCCCAGCCCCAGGCCCTGTCACCTTCCCCCAATTCCCCATCTCCTAGGCCCCTTCTGCCTCTCACCACCAGGTCTGGCGGGAACAACGCATAGGTTATCCTGGCGATGTTCTCCAGGGAGAACTGGAAGGAGTAGTTGAACACGCGGATGTCGTTGAAGATGGCGGGACAGTCCCGGGGGCAGATGTCTTGCTGCCCGCTGAAGGTGGAGATGGTGATGGAGTCGGTCCAGAAGGAGCAGGGCTGCATGCCCGTGAAGCCCCCGTCGATGTACCTCTGTGAGGGGTGGAGTGCAAAATGCTCTTCTGGGGTCAGAGGTCTCATCCCCACTTAGAGAGCACATCAAGGGACAGCAGGGACAGAAGACTCTTCAGCATGAGCCTTGAGACTGGGGTTCTGGTCGGTGAATGGTGTGCCCCAAGGCCACTTGGTCAGTCCATGCTGGCCTCTGAACTCCCAGCCCAGTGCTCTGTTCCTGCACTGCCCTCCAGCATCTTAATGGTGCTGAGAGTGGGGCTCCCAGGACTCTGTGGCGGGGACCATGCTTCCCTGCCACAGCCTCACCGCGTGTCCACCCTCAGGGCCCTTCCCTTCCTGGGGCTTCCAGTCCTCACCTAAGAACGAAGGGCAACAAACACCAAGGCTCTAACTCTCGGGGTGCCTGAGGATTATCCACATGCAATGTGGGCTCCATCTACTACGTGAATGCTAATCTCTGGGCCTTATTGTCTCTGTATATGAAATGAGGAGGGGCGCGGGTTAGACCCTCACTACTCCGAGTGTGGCCCGTGGGCCCACGGCACCAGCGCAACCTGAGGCTAGTTAGAGGTGCACGATCTCAGCCCCTCCCCAGACCGGTGGGGTCAGCATCTGCACTATTTTACAGCCCCCGAGAGAGTCCTGGGACATTACAGTCTGTGAGGCACTGGGCTAGAACGTCTCAAATACCGTCATCCTTCGAGGCCTGGGGTCCCGGCGCTCAGGGCCAGCGTTCTACACTGTCAAGTTGGGGATGAGCCTTGATCTGCCAGGCTCGGGGGTGGGTTGGTGGGTCCAGAGAGAAGCCCAACCAGCTGGGGAAGTTCTTAAAGCCCCGAAAATCCACCCACATTGGGAATTCTGAGTTTAAAAAAAAGTGAGAAACTTTCTAACTCTGGGGCCTCCCACTGCATTCTGAGACCGCCCCTCAGCTCTCCCAGGTGTGGGTTACAGGGACCCCGAGGTGTCCCAGGATCCCAGCTCGCCCTCTCACCATGCGAGAGCACTCACCACGCCGCGGTAGGTTGGGGGGATGAGGCCACAGTACACGGGGACGAAGCAGCTGCAGTACAGGGCCTGTGGGAGGGGACGGTCCTGAGAGGTGGAGGCCGGCTGGGCGGGGACGGCTCACCTGTCTGCCCCAGACCACCCACCAGCAGCCTGGACCTCCTTAAACCCATGGTGAAGGCACCGCAGTGAGGAGCAGAGCCCTGAGTTCAAGGCTGGGCCTGGCCCTCACTGGCTGGGCCTACTTGGTCAGTCTGCACCTGACGTCTGAACTTTGAAGGGGGAGGGTGGCCCCAATATCTCCAGGGTTCCTTCTGATGCCAAATTTTTATGAATACAACAGGACTCAGCAGCCATTAGTGTATGTTGGTCCCAGGCCGGGCCCTAGAGTTGAAAGCCGGGTCTCGGGAATGTCAAAGATGGGGAGCAAGCAAGGAGGCGACAGTACAGTGGGGTGACAGGTGTTTTGATGGAGGTGACATGGGCACTGTGGCCCGAGGGTGGGGTGGGGTGGGGCGGGGTGGGAGTGCCGGGAGTTCCGTCAGAGGAGAAGCAGGGGAGGAGGAAGGGGATGCAGGCAGAGGGTGCCCAGAGGCCGGTCTGTGTGAGGTGCGCTGTGGCGGCCTGGTGGGAGTGGGCGGTGCGGGGAGAGGGCTGGGGAGAGAAAACTGCGAGTGGGAGATGACGTCGGAATGCGGGTGGGTGCGAGGAGGCAGAGCTGAATATCAGGGTGCTAATGAACCCGGGGGCCATGAGGCATGTGGGGGGGGCCGTGCCTACCGCCTGCTCATCTCCCGCCCCCAGGACCGTGGCCAGGCCAGTGTGGGATGTGGGCATGGGGTGGCAGAGGCCCTGGATTTGGAGGAGGGGAGGAGAGTGGACATACGGGATGGAGGTCAATGCAGCTTAGTCCCTTTGTCCCGAAGGAAATTGGGCCTATCCATGGCACTCTCCGACAATTGTATTATAGTGCACAGGTAAAACTCGTATTAATGAGCTTAGAACAGTGCACTGCTGGGTTAGCATGCACTTTTCTAAATAGTAACTGATTTAGTGATAATTCAGTCTTTTATCTTTTATCAAGGGCCATTGGAAGAGAGGGGACAGAAGGGCCCATGTCGCTGGACTGTCCCCCAAAACTGGGAGTAATTCAGGGAGGACACACTGCAACCCAGGCTGGGAGGCCCTAAAGGAGCCGTGGGCCTCTATGGGTCGCACCCGGGCCTCTGAGAAGCTCCAGGATTAGCACAGAGAGCCAGGCAGGACACATGCGAGAGCAGGGCCTGAGCCCTGGGGACTCTGGGTGTTGACGTGTTGAGGACAGTGACCAAGCCTGATTTGTCTTGGGCTTCTCTGTGCCCGTCTCATCTAACGCTGTGCCTTGCACAGAGAGATGCGGAGCATGAAGGAAGGGGAGGACTAGGGAACCGCGGCAGACAGGTGGCGTGTCTCGGGCTGTCCTGAGAGAGCAGGTGCAACCCCCAACCGCCCCCCAGCCTCCCCTCCCCAGGCCCAGCCCCTCGCCTCAATGAGCTCTTCCTTGGACGTGTACTCTGAAACCACGACACTCTCTCCATCCGTGAGGCGGGTGAGGCTCACGTGGAGCTTCCCCGTGGTGGCCTTGTAGGAGTCCTCCGGCAGGACCCGGTACAGAAACTGCCTCATCATCTGCACCATCTTGCAGGACGGAGACAAGGGCCCCAGGAAGGATTTCTTCACCTCGGCCACGCCCACGTTGAGGACCCTGAGGTACTCATCTGCGGAGGAAGAGAGAGGAGGGGTTGGTCGGTGGCACCCAGGGGCCAGTGGGTCCAGGGCGATTTTGCCGTCTCATCCTGCGGTTTTGCCGTCTCATCCTGCGGTTTTGCCATCCTCATCCCCGACAAATGGGGAAACCTAGAATTTTGAAGCCTGCAAGGTCCCAGCAATCAGCCCGCCATTTGCGAATGAGGAAAGCGCACACGAAGAAGGAAGTCACTGGCTCCAGAGAGGCCACGGCTGGGTGACGACAGAGCGGGACATCCTAACTCCCTGTCCAGGAGTGGCCGCACGACAGGAACTTTCTTATCAATGGTTAAAGGAACACTTTCCCACCCCAAGATAGCCTTCCCCAACTTCCCGTCACCATGCCTGGAAGTCTACTGCCAGACCACACTTTTGGGGGTCCTGTATGAGATTCCTGTTAAAACACTGACGCAGTTGAAAGTCTTTACCAGATGACACCCTGGGACGCTTGCTTAGCGCCCACTGAGTGTGTGGGCAGGGAGGGGTGTTGGCCTTGAGGCAGGAGAATTGCCAGGAGGAGGGGAACTTTGTCTTGAAGCCATTACGTCGTCTTTCCTTTCCCTGGCATGGGGCTGAGCGGGGGACGGCCCTGGAGGAGCACGCGAGGGCTCGCACATGCCAGGCGCTCCGTGGGCAGATGTGCGGGGCAGAGAGGGCGTAACCTTCCCCACCCCAAGTGCCCGGAATCCCGCCAGTCTGGGTTGTAAGCTTAATGAAAAGTGCTAACTTGCTTAATTCTCCCAATACCGTGAGGTAGGCATTTCAATCTTCATTTTACTGATAGGAAATCTGAGGCTCAGAGAGGTCATATAACTTGCCCAGGGTCGGCCAGTGAGTAAGTGGACAAAGTGGGATTTTAACCTCGGATGTGAGACCCCAGAACCCAGGCTCCTTCGACCACACTAAGCCTGAGCTGCTTCCAGAGCCGAGCCCGCCTCTGCTTTTGCCGACCGCTGCTCATTCGCACCCTGTGCAAGCCCCCTGGGGAGTCAGGAGTGGAACTAGCTCTGTAAAGGAACGCTGCATTCTTTAACCAAATATCGAACTGTGAAACACCCTGTGTGGAAGAACCTTCTACAGTGAGTGCCAGGTAGCACTGGCTACCTGGGAAGCTGTGCAGTCGTGAGCTCTCTGCCGCAGGAGGTAACCAAGCAGGGGCTGGACAAGTATCTCTGTCGGAGAGCTTATTGAAGGGATTCCCATGTGGGTGGTAAGGGCTAAGATTCCTTCTCGCTTTGAGATTCTGGGATTTTCACCCGCGCCTCACAGTTTACCTCGGAAATCATCACTGTATACCTTCCTCTCTTATTTATAAATAGAGCAGCTGAGGCACAGAGAGGTGAAGCGATTTACCCAAAGTCACACACAGAAATCTGGGGGCAAACCAAAACTAGGGATGCTCTACTCCTCTTGTGCTTTACAGTTCACAGATTCGTCCACACGGGTCTTAGAGGTGCATGAGATAAGGAGCTTCAGCACCATTTTACAGATGTGGACACTGAGGCAGAGAAAAAGCTAAGTGTCTTGCCTGAGGTCACACAGCCAGGCAGTGATTTTTTCTGACTGCAAACCCCACCTTCTCCCCCTGGATATTGGACTCATCCCAGGGATGAAGAGGCTGAATGAGCCAGGTTGCCATGGTGACGGCCTTTTCTTGCCAACATTCAGAATCACACCTGCATGTGTGTAGTAGGACAGACCTGAGCAACAGAGCATCTTCTGGGTCACCCTCTTAGAGGGCAGGGTGTTCCTGGCAGCGGGGAGGGCCCTGCAGTTTTAGCGTGGTTGGCTTTACCATGTGCTGACATGAACACACGTCTTGTTTTCCCTTAGGTTATGAAGCATTTGGATGCCAAGGTGTTGGGTCACTAAGGTCTCACCCATAAGACCAACTGGGATGGGGAGTCTAACCAGGGTGGGGACATGCTGCTTTTGGAATTCTTAATGAGAGCTTAATGCTCCATGGGGGTCAGTGGCTTTTCCCATGATGCCTTGCAGCCAGGGGCACGTGATCCAGCTTGCCTGAGCACTCCTGGACTTCCAGCAGGAGGCACCACTGGACAGATGCAAGGAAATTTGTTCTCACCGCATAGATCACACATGCTCACGGTGGGGAAAAAATTCTTTAATGTAGATAAGCAAAAAGGGGAAAAAATAAAGTGTCTTATAATCCTACCACCCAGAGACTAACATCTGGTCTGTCTTCCTAGGTTATATATTTTATTTTTAGTCTTACTTAAAGGGAGTCATACTATATACACTATTTATAACTTTCTTTTTTCACCTAATGTATCATGAGTGTCTTTCCAGTTCAGTAAATATCCATTTACAACCCAATTTTAAAAGCAGCATGGAAAGCTATTGTAAAGTTATACCATTATTATTGATTAGGTCCCCAGCAGGGGTTGGCTATTTAGTTTGTTTCCTTTTTTGTTTGTTTGCTTGCTTTTCTAAATAATGATGCAATGAACAATCTCATGCTATATTCTTTGCCCATGTCCTTAATTATTCTCCTTAGGATAAATTCCTAGAAGTGAGAATGCTAGGTCAAAGGTATGCATATTTAAAGTCTTACAATGCTTATTTTAATCACGGCTTTGGTATAGCATTCATCTATGGTCAATTCTCAGTTATTCAGGAGCAGTGGTGGGTGACAGGGACAAAGCAGTGGACAAGATAATGGAAACAGTATTGACGTTTCCAGTGTACTCGCATCTGAAAATGGTGCTATCTGGAAATTAGCAATGCTCTAGCCAGTCATGTAGCCAGGGAGGGAGGCGGCAAGAGAGTGTCTGATTTCTCCCAGCCTGGTGCTCTGTGTAAAATGCTTTCGTGTTGCTCACTGGAGCCACAAACCAAAGGCTGCCTTTATCTCTGCATCTTCCTGCTTCTCTCCAGGGCTCTGTGTATGTATGGATCTGTCCTCAAAGTCTCTGTCTCCCTCTGTGTCTCTCTTTGTCTCTGTCTGTCTGGCTGTCTCTGTCTTCCTCTCTCTCTTCTCACTCTTTCTTTTTCCACTTGGGGGAGAAGCAACTAATCTTCTGGTTAAACAAGTCTATGTTGGTAGAAAGTCAAGTGTGAAGCACAGCAATTTCTGGGTGCTGGGAGGAGGGATAAATTTAGCTTCCTTCTTTATGCATCTCCATACTTTCCAGCACCTTCTCCAATTTAAAGGCCTCCTTCCACACTGCAGGCTGCCAGTGTCCCACCCGGACCACTGCAAGGTGGCATTTAGAAGCAGCCCTGCAGGCCCGAGGCATCCTGAGTGGGGAACTCCAGCGTGGCTATGCCCACCCCTGGCTCACACTACCACACCCACTTCTGCTCAGAGAATGAGATTGTTTGAGGGCTGGTCTTTGTGGCCTTGCTCCTCCCTCTCAGTGGCCTATCACTGTGCTTTGCCCATAGAAGACCCTTCGGAAACCTTTCCTGTAGGCTGGAAACTCCTCCAGGGAAGACATGGGCCATACTCCTTTCACCCACCAAGACTCCCACAGCACTTGGTGGGTGCTTAGTGTTTGTTCAATGTGTGAACAAAGGAAAAGAAAAACCCGAGTATTATGGAGATGCTCCCAGGGAAGAACTACTTAAGTTAATTACCCAATAAAAATTCAAAGGCAAGGTTATCCCAGATAGATGGATAGATAATGGAATTAACCATGGTGATGAGTGCGGTCAACTCACCCAGGTTTTAAGAGTCTATTGAGCCAAGAACTTCAGTAGAAAAATAATAAGATGCTGGGACTGGGAGATTTTGAAGGGCACTTCAGCCTTATTTCCAAGTTTTAGCCACTCAGAGAGTTTTCACTCTTCTTTGTGAACACATCCATTTCTTGGAAAGAGCTCAGGCTTTGGAGCCAGGCAGATTTGGTTCAAATCCCAGCTTCACTGGCCAATTAAATAACTTCTTTTAGCCTCAATTTTTCCACCTGTGAAATGGGTCTAAGAATACCTACCTTACTGGGTTATTATGAGGCACTTTTTTAAAAGGCGCCTACACATAATAAGTGCTCAGTATTGGTTATTCCAGTAATCACCTATGTGATCATGGACAAGGATTCTTGATGTTTCTGACTCTCAGCTTGCTCATCTGAGCAGGGAACAATGCCCCTACCCCACACCCTCATCCAGTTGTGGTCAGGCTCGCGTGTGGAATCAAAGGACCAGAGTAAAAGCGTGGAGTGAGGGCGGGTATACCCCTGCTTCAGAGTAGTGTAGGCATGGTTGGCAGTGCACTCCCTTCCGTGCCAACTTGGCGGACGCTGGAGGTTTATTGGGGAAAAAAGGGGGCTAGAAAAATCATTGCAGGGGAAGAAGAGGGATGATTTGATGTGTGTTTATCTTATTTAAGTGGATAATATTCTCCCCTTCAGGAGGGCAAGGATGGTCTCTGCTTTATTCATTCCTTTTCCCCTAGAATATGGCAAGCCCTCAATAAGCATGTATGCATGCATGAATAATGAATAAATAAACGCACTCCAGAAATCGAAGGGGGACACTGAGGCCAAGAGAGAGAACTAGCTATTCAAGATGACAGAGGGTAAAAACAGAGCGTTTCTCTTCCCCTCCTCCACAGGGCCTCTTGCTAAGTGGAAAATCCTAGAAAGACGTGCGCTTGGGCTGACAATTGCAGCTGCTGGAGATCCCGTTTGCAGGCTGCGGGAATTAGGTCTGCTCCGCTGGATGATCTGCCGCGGAGGGTGAGGATGGGACTGCGGGACTGGAAGCCTAGCAACAGCCTCCAGCTCGACCAATCACCGCGAGGCGCAGCCGCCGCCGACCCTGCTCCCCCGCAGCCTGGGGCGGGGGGAGGCACGGGGAGCGGCGGGCGGGGAGGGGAGCGCAGCAGCCCCTGGGGAGGGACCGCGAGCAGCGCTTTCCCAGGAAAGCCCTGGGAAGTCTCGGAATCCCTGCATGGAGCACCTGGGAGTCTGCTGCTCCTCCCTGGTCCCTAATTACAGGATGAATTTAG